AGTCCTGGACCCGGTGGCTTAAACTCACACTGAGCACGTGTGCGTGCGTGCCCAAGATCCCGAGAGGAGACTGGAAGAGAAAGGATTGTGGTGTGGCCATCCCCCCGGGAGGCTGATTTCTTGCTTTCTGTCTCTCTGTCTCTCTCTTTCCGGTGAGCACACATGCCCTATAGCAAAAACCTCTCAAAAAAAAAAAAAAAAAGAGAGAGGCGTTCTAAGATCAAATATGTTGTGGAAATTCAGCATATATTATACTCTGTTGGAAGACTGCAAAGCTCATTAGCTTATTGAAGTCTCTGATACTTCCTACAAAACAAACAAAAAATGTTTTAAGCATATTTAAACCAACATTTTGAAAATATATTTATACCTAGAACCCTTTTTTTTGAGAGTTTTATATTTTTTTTTTTGCTACAGGGCACGTGCTCTCACCAGAAAGAGAGAGACAGAGAGAGAGAGCAAGAAATCACCCCCTGGGGGGATGGCCACACCGCAATCCCTTCTCCTCCATTCTCCTCTCGGGATCTTGGGCACGCACGCACATGTGCCCAGCGTAAGTTTAAGCCACCGCGTCCAAGACTCGAACTGTGGCCGGCTACACGAGAATCCAGCAACATAGCCATTACGCTAACTGCTGATCCCTCTAGAACCCATTTTTAGCGAAAGTTATTAACATCTCACCGAAGACATTTGCGAAAACCCTGTTCTAATACATTCCCTACTTTCTTTTCTCCTCTTAGTATTGTTCACAAAAGCAAGCTGTTGAACCTAACTTTTTTTTCAGTTTTTTTTCTCTCCCTGAATATTGTCAATTTTAATGAGGCTGAAATTGCTGTGTTCCTGTTTTTTAAAAAGCTAAAATTTTAAATTTACTTTTGTTATCTCTAGCCAATTCAGAGGAAATCATAGAAGAAAATGCTGTTGACTCATCAATTCAGCAAGTGGTGGGGAGTGGAGGCCAAAGGGTCATCACCATAGTGACTGATGGAGTCCCTCTGGGTAATATCCAGACTGCAATCCCTACTGGCGGTCTTGGCCAGCCATTTATTGTAACTATGCAGGATGGACAGCAAGGTAAGTTTTCCGTGTAGGCAGTCATTTATTAAATACACTTTTGACCCAGCTGCAGTGGCACGCAATAGATGCTGCCACTCAGAAAGCTGAAGCTATGTGGGAGACTTGGGTTTGATTCCTTGTCCCAGCCTAAAAGCTGAGCAGGGTGGCTTGGGCTTGTTGTACTGGCAACTAGGGAGAATGAGACGCTGTCTAAAGAAGACATTTTTGGAGCCACACAATGACATAACAGTAAAATGTCACATTATCAGGCTGACCCACATGGGAGGGCTCTGGGTTTGCCTCTTGAGACCTCCCTGAGTATGCCAGGTACACACGTGCCCATGATCTGGGACTGGCTGAAGCTGAGGTTGATCATGGAGTCAAGACCGTTTGGGGGATGCTGTCTCGCTGTCTCTCTTATTCATAGCAGAAATATATAAACTTTTTCTTATTTTTTTAGATTTTTGCTATAGGGCATGTGTGCTTAGCAGAGAAAGACGGGGAATGTGAGAAATCACCTCCCCAGGTAGGATGGCCACACTGCAGTCTCTTCTCTTCCATTCTCCTCCTCATTGATGGGGCCAGCAGGTGGCGGGAGAGTTAAGGCACTAGATCATACATGGCCGACTCTGTGGTTCAAGTCCTGGACCTCTAGCTTGAAAAACACCAGGGACATGTGCATGTGCACCCAGAATCCCAAGAGAATGGAGAAAGAAGGGGTTACAATGTGGCCAATCCCCCCGAGGGATGATTTCTCACTTCCTTTTCTCTGTCTTCGGCAAGTACATGCACCCGATAGCAAAATCGTTTTTTAAATTATTTCTTTTTTTTCTGTCATTTATTTATTTCTTCCATGAGCATAAGAGACAGAGAGAGAAGAGAAAGATAGCACCTCCAACAGGGTCCCAGTGCCGCAATATGTCCCCAGCTTCAGTCGCCTCTGCTTCATGGGTAAGCATGTGAATGGGAGCACATCAGATGCAAGATGGGGCAAAGGAGCTCTGAAAAAAGAAAAAGAAGAAACAAAAACCAAAGCCCAGTCTTACAAAGACTGTTTTCACTATTATATATAAAATTTCTGAGTAAAACTGATGATCTGCTAGAAAAAAGAACAAATAATGTGAACCAATAGTTCACAGAAAAGAAAGTACTTTTAAAAACATGAAAATATGTTCAGACTACTTATTTGTAACAAGAGAAATGCAAATAAATATGGGGCTGAGATGCATTATATCACTGTGTTGTCAAGGGCGTAGGGAAACGGGCACTCTTGTAAATCACTTATGAGTGTAAATTAATGGACTCCAAAGAGCAAATCGGGAATATCTATGTATTAAAGATAGACATGTCTTTTGACTATGTATTATGTATTAAAGATATACTATCCTTTGACTAAACCATTTGTTTTTTATAAATTTATACTCACACACAGAGAAATGTTATATATACTAAGTTATTCATTATGGCATTATTTGTCATTGCGAAAGATTGAAAAGAGGGACTGGCTCAGGACCAGCAGATAGCATAATAGTTATGTCTCTGGATTACCACTAATTGACTGCAGTTCAGGTCCTCGACCCGGTGGCTTAAATCTCACACCAGGCACATGTGTGTGTGTGTGCCCAAAATCCCGAGAGGAGAATGGAGAAGAGACTGGCATGGCCATCCCCCAGGGAGGGATTTATCGCTTTCTGTCTCTCTGTCTCTCCAACAAGTGCATGTGCCTTATAGCAAAAAATCTCTCTTAAGAAAAAAGAAAAGAGGGACTGGCTTTGTGGCTTAATAGTTAAGGGAGCCAGATCCCACATGGCTGACCATGCAGTTCAAATCCCAGCCCCAGCAACTTGAAAAACATGCTAGGCGTGTGTACATGTGTGCCCAGAATTCTGACAGGATAGAGAGGTGAGGCGGAATTACAGTGTGACTACACACTACTGGAGGGTGCTTTTTCCCTCTCCTGTCTCTCTCTCTGACAAGAGCAGGTGCACTCTGGCAACTTTCTTTTTTTTGGGGGGGTGGGGTGGGGAAGTTTTTGCTGTAGGGTGCATGCACTTGCCAGAAAGATAGAGACAGAGAGACAGAAAGCAAGAAATCCTCCCCCCTCCCCGCCCCCCGGAGGAATGGTCACACCACAATCCCATCTCCATTCTCCTCTTGGGATCTTGGGCACAAACGCACACGTGTCTGACATGAGTTTTAAGCCACCGGGTCCAGGGCTCAAACTGCAGTCAACTGTGTGGGAATCCAGCAATATAACCATTATGCTATCTGCTGATCCCTTTTTAGTCTTTTTTTTAAAAGCATTTCCTGGGCCAGCAGGTGCTGTGGTAGTTAAACCACTGGATCCCATATGGCCAACTCCATGGTTCAAGTCCCGAACCCCATGGCTTGAAAATCATTCCAGGCATGTGTGCCCAAAATCCTGAGAGGAGACTAGAAGGAAAAGGGATTGCAGCATGGCCATTCCCTTAGGAGGTGATTTCTCATTTTCCCTTTCTTTTATCTCTCTTTGTTTCTCTGTGGCAAAAATCAAATCAGTCAATCAGTCAGTCAATTCTTTATATCTATTCTCCTTATTTCTTTCTTTCATAAGCATGAAAGACAGAGAAAAAGTACATACCATGACGGGGTCACAATGTCATAATCCATCCTCAGTCCGAGTCAGATCCTAGGTCCACGTGTGCCTAGTATACTCTGGGAAATCCCCAGACTTGTACTGGGAATCTTGCCATGTTGGGTTGCCTTACAGAGGTCTTTTTAAAGAATTATTTAATTTTATTTGTTGGTTTTTTTTTTTTTTTTTTTTTTTTTTTTTAGAGAGAGAGAGAGAAAGGGAAAGTGAGAAAGCAACCCAGGTCCAGATTCAAACCATTGTCGACCATGTGGGTAGTCCAGCACCTTTACCACCACACCACCTGCTGGCCCCCACCTCAGAAATCTTACATGAAGACTTCAGGCTGGGGCTAGCAGGTGGTGTGGTGGTTAAGGCACTGTATTCCTATATGGTCAACTGCAGTTTGAGTTCCAGATGTGACAGCTTGCTTTCTCTCTTTCTCGCTCTCTGGTGAGCACACATACCCTATAGCAAATTTTAAAAATAATAGTAATAATAAACAGAATTAAATAAATAATTCTTGCACCATTAAAAAAATAAAAAAGACCAGGCTGAGGGATAACAGATGGTACACTGGTTAAGGCACTGGACTCCCACATGGCCAACTGCAATTCGAGTCCCAGATCTGGCAGCTTGAAAATCATTCTGGGCATGTGTGTGTGTGCATGCCCAGAATCCCAGGAGGAGAAGGGATTGCAGTGTGGCCATCTCCTCTGGGGAGTTATTTCTCAGTTTTTGTCTCACTGTCATTGTCTCCCTTGAGTAAGTACATATACCCTATGACAAAAAAAAAAAAAGACTTCAAGCTAGGCCAACCAGCAGCACAGTGATTAAGAGGATACTACACAGCCAACTGCATATTTTAAGTAACAGATTTAGTGACTTAAAAAACATGCCAGGTACGGGGCCAGCAGGTGGTGTGGTGGTTAAGGGCACTGGATTCCCACATGGCTGACTGGTTCGAGTCCTGGACCTGGTAGCTTGCTTTCTCTCTCTCTCTCTCCCTCTCTGGTCAAATTAAAACTAGCAAATAGATAAAGTTAAAAATAATTCTTAGGAGAAGGGATTGCGGCGTGGCCATCCCCTCTGGGGGGTGATTTCTCGCTTTCTGTCTCTCTCTCTGTCTGGCGAGCGCACATGCCCTATGGCAAAAACCTCTCCAAAAAAAGGGGGAAAAAATCTTTAAAAAAAAAAAAAGAAAGAAAGAAAGCCAGGTGCACATGCGTGTGTGTCTGAAATCCAGAGAAGAGAAGAAGATGAAGGGATATTGCAGCACGACCATCCCCAGTGGAGGATGCTTTCTCTCTCTTACTTTCTCTCGCTCTCTGTCTCTATCCAGCAAGTGCACATGCCCTCTAGCAAATGAAAGCCTTTAGGCCTCCGTTAGGCAGATTATTTCTGCAAAATTTATAAACTGGTCACAGCTGCTGACCTGTTGTCAAGACATCTTATATATGTCTCAGGGACTTACCTTCATGGCGTCCAAACTTGCACAATTTTACCCTTCCTTTCTGTGCCCTTACTAGCTTTTCTTTAATTCTTTTTTTTTAAGAATTATTTTATTTAACTTTATTTATTTATTTATTTTAATTTGACCAGAGAGGGATAGAGTGAGAGAGAGAGGGAGGGAAAATGAGAAAGCAAATGCCACCAGGTTCGAGGCTTGAACCTTGGTCAGCCATGTGGGAGTCCAGCACCCTTAAGCACCAGGTCACCTGCCAGCTTCTCTTTAATTCTTTTTATTTCAGGTAAGGCCAACCTTTCTTGTTCATTCTAAAATCTAGAGAGAGATGAAAAGTCATATATCAGAAAATATATTCTAGTTTGCTTACTGTTTCTTTTTTGCTTGCTTGCTTGCTTTCTTCCCTTCCTTATTTTCCTTTTCTTTTCTTTCTTTTCTTTATTTCCCAGAGGGCACATGAGCTCACTGAAGAGAGACAGAGAACAAGAGGGAAAGTGAGAAAGCATCCCCAGGGAAGATGGCCATACCACAGTCTCTTTTCTTCCATTTTCCCTCCAGGATTTTGGGCACACACGCACATGTGTCTAGCATGTTTTTCAAGCTGCTGGGTCCAGGACTTGACCTATACAGATGCCATGTGGATCCAGCTGCTTTAACCACCACACCACTACCATCTGGTCCTTGGTTTGTTTACTAATCAAAAGCAAGCAAAACCAAGCTGGGCATAGTGGTACACACCTATAATCCCAACTACTTGGGGGGCTAAAGGATCATAAGTTCAAGGCCAACCTGAACAACATAGTGAAATATTGTCTCAAAGAAAGGAAAAAAAATAAGCAAAACCTCTTTGTTTTGATAAATTCATCATCTCTACTTGTGTCCTCTGACTTGTAGTTCTAACTGTACCTGCTGCTGGTCAGGTTGCAGAAGAGACTATAATTAAAGAGGAAGAAACAGAGAAGTTGCCAGCAACAAAGAAACCAAGGATAGAAGAGATAATAAACAGTGTGGAGGAAAACAAGGTAATGTTTTTAGCAGTGACAAAAGAAAGTATCAACAGCCATAACTACAAGGCCTGAGTCCTTCTTCATCTTTTTGTCTATTGTCTGGATAATCCATGATCAGGAATCCTTACCTGCTGTAACATGGTTTCCTTTTACAGGAAGGCAGCGAGAAAGAGCTTTTGCAGCAGCAACTCCAGGAGGCCAATCGAAGAGCCCAGGAATACCGACACCAGCTCCTAAAGAAAGAGCAGGAGGCAGAACAGTACCGTCGTAAACTGGAGGCCATGGCTCGACAACAGCCCAATGGAATTGATTTCACTATGGTGGAAGAAGTAGCCGAGGTGGATGCTGAAGTCATCACCGAGAGTGAGGCGGGATTGAGAGAGCCAGCAGTGACTGGGTCAGCAGGGACCAGAGAGCCTCCTACTGGAGTATCCCTGGAAGCCGTTTCATCGTAACATACAAGGGCCGCAGCTTACACTGTGTTCATCTTATTCTCTTTTAAAAAGAAAAAAACAGATGACAAACATTGTATAAAAAGTAAGAATGTCCTTAAGAAGAAAATATAGCAGGGTACAATTCTTGGGCTCAGGAAGGCTCTCTATGCAACTGGAAAATTCAAAGCCTTAGGAAATACTTCTTCTGAGTGGCCGAAAGAATAAGGACCAAATTTATCAGCTCACATCATTGCTTTAAGCTTAGAGGTTAAAGAATGCCAGATGTTGGGACCAGCAGATGGCATAGTGGTTATGTCACTGGACTCCTACATGGCCAAATGCTGTTCGGGTCTTGGACCCGGTGACTTCAAAATCACACCGGCTTATGTGCACGTGTGCCCAAAATCCCAGAAGGAGAATGGAGGAGAAGGGATTGCAGCATGGCCTATCCCCCCCCCAGGGGGGGTGATGATTTCTCACTTTCCCTTATACTATGCCTGTCTCTGGCAAGTGCACACGCCGTAAGGCAAAAACCTCTAAAGAAGAATGCTAGATGTTGTGGGTTGATGTCTTTTTAAATAACTGACTTTCTGTTAGAAGACTTTAACATTCCTCATACATACACACCAACTGCCTTTAATAATTATACCATTAATTTACCTGAAAATTTGCCTTACATTTATAATGTATGTCTGTTACAGAAATAATTGGGAGGAAGTTTAGGATAAAGCTTTGGAGGAAAGAACAGGAACATATTCCACCTCCGAAGGAACAGGCACTCACAACTGAGCGGAGTTGGTCTGTGATTGCCTGACATTGTCCACAGCTCAGACGCTAGTTTAGAAAACCAAAGTGGAGTTTGTAAAAACTGGAAAGAAAACGTGTTTCTGTGAGGTAAGTGTGTGTAAAACCAGCCTCCAGGCTGTGTTTCCACCATGCTGGGAAGTGGCCATCGATGTGAGAGTTATGGGGTGGCGAAACTCTGGTCTGGAGATACAAACTTTGCTCTGGCCGAATTTTATAAAATCGCAATCAGGAGGGTAGTCTGTTGTCAGAACAACTTGCTTCCAAACATTTATATATGTAATACCAAGCTCGTGCTCTCTAATCGTATAAAGCTGTCGATTTTCTGATTGTCATTCAGGACACACGTGTGCTTTTGCATGGCGCTTACAATGATATCTTCTTATGTGCAAAAAAAGAGGGAGGGCTGGACATGAATGCTGATGATATGATGATACGACACAGTTTTAGTTCACTTGATTTGGGATGCATACACTGCTCTGTTTCCTTAAGCGTGGGTCTAGTGTGGACAAACGTCTGTGCCTCGTAGGTGCTCAGTGTGTGTTCACAAAGGGAGTAAGAACCGTCCGTGCCATAAAGTAAGGAACCAAAGGAGGGAGCGCGTCTGCCTTCCCTCCCTTCTCTCCCACTGTGCCTGCTTCCTCTGCCCAGAGACTTTTGGGGAGTGTTTGAATGCTAGGTTTTCTTTGTATGTCAGCATGGAGTTTTCTCCAAAGAAAGGGACTAAGGATGGAGAGAGAGAGGTTGTGGAGAGGTTAAATTACCCAGCTTATTGCCTTTGAAACTGGGCCCTCGCCATTCTAGACTTGCTTGCTTTGTCGTAAATGACAAGAAACCAGAGGGAAATGTGCCAAGTAAACATCTGAATAACTGTTTAGAATATGGTTTTCCTAATTAGTGATCATGGGGAAAACATGCATTTTTAATTTGGAAAAAAACTTGACAGTTAACATGGTTCTGTTTACCTTGATTAGTGAAGTAATTTGCCACAGTGTTCCAGAGGTGCAGAATCATTTGGGCTCAAAATAGACTGAAAACATAACTCCCCAAACCAAATTTAACAAACAGAATTGGCCGTGAGAGATTTATAGGCAAAAAATACCAGTTTCAAAATTAATCTTGGCTACTGGCCACTCTAGCCAGGTTTTCTACAGATACTGCATAGCGTATCTTTCTGTGTACTGAGCACTTCCCAGACCGTCGGAGATTATTCCCGGCTGCGGGACCAAGGGAAATGCAGTCGAGGAGCCTAGGAAAGGGTGAAGATGAAATTATGGTATCTGCTATCTAATCATCCTGTTTCTGTTTACAGTGTTTTTCGTTTTTCTGAGTCCCTTTGGGAGCCAGGTGCTAACAATAAGCTGCTATGGCGTGGTGTTTGCTAGCCTTAGCTTAACTATTAAGGGACCGAATATCATCGTAGATGTCTCTGTTTATGTTCTTGGTGCATACACGAACCTTTTTCCTATTTCTCTGCTAGGGATGGTAATGAACTCTGCAGAAGATTCCCAGGCCCAGACACCTCACATTTGGACTGGGGGTGGGGAATTCCATCCAACACTCACTTCTGAGCATACAGAGTCCACTTTTTTGAGGGACTGTTTAGGAGTTCGGACTATTTTCTTTCTGCAGAAGGTATCATTCCTACTCCCCAAAAGATAATATTACAGACCAAGTCATTTTTGATGATGGGCCTCTGAGATAGGGGTTTGTCAGAGAAGTTGGGATAGGGAGGGAGAGAACTATCTGAAAAGGAGTGAATAAGAGAAAAGGTATTAATTTTTATTTACTTGAAAATAGATCTTTTAGCTTCCCAGAGAAGGAAAGTAGGATTTGTCCTTCAAATATATTGCCAGGGGGAGAATAAATCAGGATGCCTTGAAGTAGTTAGAAATTAAATATTGAATGCATTAATGGCAATCCAGTTCGTGATTTTGCATATCTTTCTGGATCAGTCATGAAGTTGGAAAAATGTTGCTTAGATTTTCTGGGTTAGGGGTTCCAGCTGTTTTATTGGCAAGGATGGATTATTGAGAATTAAATAACAGACAAGTGGTTCAGAGTTGGTACTTGAGCAGGAGAAGTATGGAGCTTAGGGTGGGTATCTGATTTAAAATAGAGCTGCTTTAACATTCCAGTATTAATGTTAGGACTTTTAGACCCTACATTTGCATTTTGGTCTTAAGCCTCCCTCCCAAAAGAGAAAGAAGTAAATTTTAATACTTCTTGTTCCTAGATTCAGGGAAATTGATTATAAATGTGTAAATGTGCATTCCCTTCCCATCACTACCTCTATGGAAATGTAATTATAATGCCAGGGTTGAGGTCTCTTGGGTAAAATAAGGGAGAACTTGGCTTGAGGTTTTCTATGTTTTGAACTCAGTGCCTTAGAAGACGTCCCTTTTCTCTATCAAAAATGCATTTCATTTGACTTTTGATTTTGCTTCTCCCCCTCTTTACCTCTTAACATTGCCTAATTCAAATGTCTGTGTCTGCTCAGTAAGGTTAGGAATCTTTGGCATACAAAAGGGCTTTTTCCCCCTTGTATTGATGTAAGAGGAATAAATTTACTAGAGGACACTCCAGTGGAAGTTAAGTATTCCATGACCAGCACATTTTCGATACCATTCTGCAGATGTATATTAGTGTGTACCTATGTGAATACATAGGGATTTCCCCAATTTTCTCTTTCAGTTATTTGAGGTTCAGCTCTAAAGTACCTGGTATGACCTAGTTTTATTTCATTAGACACATGAAAAGGGTTTGTTCGGATTCACTGGGTGAACTGAGGGATGGAAAGCATTACTCTGGCCCCATGTCTGAGAGCTGTGCTCTACCAGGCAGTTAGGAGACACCCAAGACTGAGGCCCCAGGGAGAGCCAGTATCTGGCCTACAGCGCAGGGATACAGATGGCACTGCCCTTCCGGGGGCAGCAGGCCTCCTGTCCATTCCTGTGGAAGCCGTTTTGACCAGCAGTGATAAGATTTTTATGCCTCCGAATAGGTAGGAAACATCAGATAAAGGGCCACAGCAGGAGGAACAGACATTGTATACTTCTACTTTTCTATGGGGTTGTCAGGAAAATCATAACACATTTTTGCATAGAGAAACAAAAAATCCATCATGACTTTTCTGACAACCCAATAGAAAGCTTATCACTTTTGAGACATTATTTCAGGGGGTCGGCACATGTCGTGAAGGTTAAGGCAGCTGGATCCCACATGGCTGGCTGTACGCTTAAGAGCCCCGGACCCAGCAGCTTGAAAATCATGCTGGGCATGGGACCAGCAGTTGGTGTAATGGCTATGTCGCTGGACACCCGGACCCAGTGGCTTAAACTCACGTCAGGCGCGTGTGCATGCATGCCCAAGATCCCGAGAGGAGATTGGAGGAGGGGGGATTGCGGCGTGGCCATTCCCCCTGGGGGGTGATTTCTCACTTTCTGTCTCTCTGTCTCTCTCTGCCTTTCTGGCGAGCACACACACCCTATACCAAAAACCTCTCAAAAAAAAAAAAATCATGTTGGGCACGTGTGCATGCCTGCTTATAGAGAGCGGCCCCATTCTAAGCAACACAATAGTGACCTTCAAACACATGCATAAACACATCTCCCTACACCTGCCCAAAATCCAAGAGGAGGAGAGAGGGGATTGTGGCGAGGCCATGCCCCTTGGGGGGTGATTTTTCCCCACTCCCACCCCTGCTTTCTTCAATGAGTGTATTGCCCTATAGCAAAAATTAGCTTAACTATTAAGGGACCGAATATCATCGTAGATGTCTCTGTTTATGTTCTTGGTGCATACACGAACCTTTTTCCTATTTCTCTGCTAGGGATGGTAATGAACTCTGCAGAAGATTCCCAGGCCCAGACACCTCACATTTGGACTGGGGGTGGGGAATTCCATCCAACACTCACTTCTGAGCATACAGAGTCCACTTTTTTGAGGGACTGTTTAGGAGTTCGGACTATTTTCTTTCTGCAGAAGGTATCATTCCTACTCCCCAAAAGATAATATTACAGACCAAGTCATTTTTGATGATGGGCCTCTGAGATAGGGGTTTGTCAGAGAAGTTGGGATAGGGAGGGAGAGAACTATCTGAAAAGGAGTGAATAAGAGAAAAGGTATTAATTTTTATTTACTTGAAAATAGATCTTTTAGCTTCCCAGAGAAGGAAAGTAGGATTTGTCCTTCAAATATATTGCCAGGGGGAGAATAAATCAGGATGCCTTGAAGTAGTTAGAAATTAAATATTGAATGCATTAATGGCAATCCAGTTCGTGATTTTGCATATCTTTCTGGATCAGTCATGAAGTTGGAAAAATGTTGCTTAGATTTTCTGGGTTAGGGGTTCCAGCTGTTTTATTGGCAAGGATGGATTATTGAGAATTAAATAACAGACAAGTGGTTCAGAGTTGGTACTTGAGCAGGAGAAGTATGGAGCTTAGGGTGGGTATCTGATTTAAAATAGAGCTGCTTTAACATTCCAGTATTAATGTTAGGACTTTTAGACCCTACATTTGCATTTTGGTCTTAAGCCTCCCTCCCAAAAGAGAAAGAAGTAAATTTTAATACTTCTTG